CTGCCTCTGATTTCAAGTCACGCTCTATCTGAGCATCTAATTCATTCAGAGTTTTAGATTTCGTAATTAATTGGTCTAAACTTTCTTCTAATGTATTTGTATCAATTTCTTCTTTATTCAACTCCGATTCGATTTTTTTTTTAGAATCTTGGACACGGTGGTCCTGATAACTTTGCTTTTCGATTTTAATTTAGCAACAGACTCTTCCGCCATAGTAACTTTATAAATTAGAAAATTTAGTCTTACCTTTTGCTGACTTTGCACACTTGCAATGTGCTAAATCCAATTGTCGGTCGTTATGCAGCAGCTGTTTCAAAATATTCTAAGATCTATAAATCAACATCAATCACTTTAAAATGTAACTTTTAATATGTACAATATTTACAGATCATTTATTAAACATGGTGGTTCAGTTGACAAACAGATGTATATTCTTTCATAATCGAAAATCGAAATCTTTTAAATAGGAACCGAAGTGTTCCTAATTAAATAGTGTGAGAAGCATCAAACATCCATCTATCGAACCGCCGGTGGTGCGTCTATGAAAATTCAGAAGGCACGTCGCGTCGCGTTAACACGCAACGCTAGCGCCATCTATAAATCAATCAAAATAATTTCCACATGTCCAATTTTCATACATTTAGAAAGCCGATATAATTATTTAAAATGATATGCAGAAAATTGGATGGCAGCAGAAAGTTCATTCATTATGTCCAGCAGGTTTACAAATGCATGGTTTGATGGTATTACTTTTTTTAAATATCATTAGTTACGAATAGAAATAGTTTACTAGACAAGGAAAATTCTTTATACTTTTCAATTTATGAAAAACAGAGAGGAAGTCAGGCAAACAATAAATAAAACAAGTTTCAGAATTCTTTAAAATTACATAAAATACTTTTATTCTTTAACAAATATTAAAATAATCTGGATGTATCATAGTATACTGACAATCTAAACCAACAAAAATAATGTCACGAAATGTTCATTTTTATAAATCTTTGTTTACATTTGTGATATTTACGATATTTCTCTTTATTAGGACACCATTAAGATAAAAGGATATGGCTTTTGATCCAACTTTGGCACTTGACATTAAAAATTAATGATGTTTCAACTATCATTTTGATTCCCTTTCCCATTTGTTCAATCATTCAATCTTATAGGAGATAATTCAATATAACTTTCTGAGAATCCCAATCCATACAAAATCTTAACCACAGAAATGTACAAGAAAGTCAATATGACTAAAAAAATAACATCCCCGATATAGGAACAAAGTTGAGGTATACTCTGAAATCAAAACAAATCACAACACAATGAAATACAACTTCAAGTACAACAAATAAATATTATGAATAAAAACAGAAACATACAACAAACATTAGCAATATATAATCACAACCTAATGAATATTTTAAATTTTGACTTAAATTTAACGAAATAAAATATTGAAAACAAACAAAAATTACTTATAAGAAATAATGTTCGTGACATGAAATAACGTATCAATGGGTCCAGAACAGTTGGTAAAATTTTAAAGTCAAAATTAGTCCACTCATAGAACAATATTTAAACAGCACTTTTCAACAGTAAAAATATTGTCCTCTAATTTCAAAAGTTAAAAACTGCAAATATAGTCAGGAGGAAAGAATAAAATGTTTAATACCATAGATAGACTAACTGAAAAAATCATGGCGAATAAGATGTGTATTATTCCAAAATAAACTAATTTAAGAATATAAAAAAATGTTTTTAAATAATAAAATAACTGCACCAATAATAAAAAGTGTTTTTAAGTTGGTAACATTTTAGGTCTCCGTATTTACAACAAATCAAGGCATAATCCTGGCTATAAAATGTTCATAAGTATACAAAATGAATAAAACACACCAGTTGTTTTCAAATGAGATTCAACAGAGCCTTGAAATTACTTTAAAGACTAAATTCATATGCCTAATAATTTAAATCTATCAAAGACGTCCTTCACTACATGCTTCATAAAAACTTTTTTTTTTAACCTAATATCCTCCCCCTCCCCTGGTTAGTAAGGCACTTGCCTTACACTTGGCTACTACTAAGGCTGGAAGTGGTGGTCACTTTACTGCGAAAACACTTACTAGGTGAGCCACCATTACCTTCTATGAAGGGACAAATAGCCATGCCTTCTCCGGGGTTTGAACCCCAGCCCTTTGGTATTGCAGTAAATTTCCATAGCCATTATACAATCTGGGTGGCAGATCTGATAGTGATGAATTTACATCTCTGATAGCATTTATGTCTATCTAATGAAATAAATTGGGTAAAATCTTGTGCTTCTAAAGTGAGATGAAACGTTCAGTTTCAAAGTATCAAATATGATAAAGCGGGCCATCAGTGACACTTTGCTCCCATTTCAAATTTATACAGTAGGTTCATGGAGGGAAACTGAGCCATATCATGTGATGTGAGGGGTCCAGCCTGACCTTCCTGGCAGATTTATGTTGCCCTATGGCCAGCCATATCATGTGTAAGCTGAGAGTGAATATCATGTATGCCATATCATCAATGATATGCTGAGAGCGAAGAGGTTAAGCAATCTGAAAGGGTATTTCTTTCAAATTTATATTAGCGTCAATTTTTTTAATGCCTGCTCATATGCTATTCAGTTTATTAGTCTAATCTAATATGAAAAATCTGAAATATTTCTACAACCTGAGTTTCATTTAAACTAGTTAACATATCTCTCAAGGGCTTAGTGGATATACTCTCAGGCTTATTTATACACATTCCTAAATCAAATGTGATTACTCTTTACAAGGTCAAAGCAATAATGATTGTTGTAAGCAGTTCTAGGACATCATACAGTATTAGTAGTAATACAAACATAACTCATAGAAAGATATATCCTTAGTTTATAGCGATACACACTATATATTTCTAGATAGACAAACATACAAGGTAACTAAAACAAAAACCAAATGATATGAATAAAACTAGTGTTACTTATGAAGTTAACATAGCAAATTAAACCTTAAAAAAGGGAGAAGGAGAGAGAGAGGAAAATAAAACCCATCATTTCAGCAGAATTAATCCCTGTTACATAATTACTTTCAATAAACAATAGATACATTCAAAATTCACTATATTTTCAGATCTTGACTACACAAAATAAATAAAAGTTAAATAAAATCTGTAAATAAAAGCTGGCATAGTTAAAAATAAGAAGGGGTACAATATGTAATAAAACTTGTTCCCTCTTAATAAGTTAAGTATTAACAATTAATTACCTTCATAACTTTTCTTCTTTCACTTTGATATACACAAGATATTCTTTGTTACATTAGCAGATTTGGAAAATGCATCCAATAATATATAAAATTATAACAATTTTCAATAAACAACAGTTTAAGCACCGATTAAGAATAAATGGATATGCAAATAAATAATTAGTAGTACCTATTACTAATTTTATAAATATATAATCAGAAATCTAACAGCATGCAATTGAAAAACATATATATACCTTACAAAGTCTGAAATCCGGACCTATCGAGACTTCGGCGATTCCGAATTTGGGATTTTCCCGAATATTAGATCATCAATTAAAATCTGGTAAGATGGCATGCAGAAATTATACAATTAAAAATATGAAATAAAGAACAATTATGATCTACAGAGCATCAAAATTTACAAAAAAAGTTTAATATTTATTTGTTTACTTTATTAAAAATTTCTTTCAATGTAAGTTGTTTAAGTTGCTTCCACAAAAAACTCAAAAAAGTTCCTTTTTCTTTTTTCTTATGTCATACACAGTTGACTTTCCAATATCATATTCCTCGGATATGCCTTTATTCATTTTTTGCAGCAATTCCACTTTTTGTTTAATGGACATCGAAACATGGTTTCGCTTTGTAGATCCTTTGGCAGCTCCAGAATTGGAAACTCGTTTCGACATAATCGATAGTTCAAGCTTAGCTTTTATAAAATTGCCTTAATAATTACAGTCTGCAAAAAAATAATATGCTGGATCAAACTAGAAGATTAGGGAGCAGCACAGTCCACTACATTAACTGAAATGGCTTAAAATCAGTAGTACATATATCAGTAGTACCTATAATATATCAGTAGTACCTATAATAATCAGTAGTACCTATAAGATAATTTTAGCCTACCTTAATAGCGTCCGTTATACATTATTGGCTGTGTATCACAAGATTGGCAATGAAAGCCAAGTAGTTTTGCTAAATTTTGTCTTGTTCCTATTGCATACTGAATTAAGCCTGAATTGTATTAGTTTAGTTATTTGCTATACCTACATTTATTTCTTGCACATGCTTAATACTAATCCGAGTCCTGAATACTTAAACTCCCACATATACTTAACGCTTTATCTAGGGCTGGCATTAAATATCGCCTGGTGCCGTCTCTACGATTCCTAAATTCTGCTACAAAGTGCCTTCCTAAGTTCTAAATTTTCACCACACCTAAACTTTGCATCCCAGTGCTTTCCCTAAATCATAAGAAACTTCTCATCCCTTAATTTTGCCACTCGGTGCTTCCCCAAATTCCAAAAATTTCGTCTTCCCTAAATTCTGCCATCTGGTGCCGACATATTCTGCCACCGCTTCTGGGTTTATAGTGAATAACATATCAGTTATTCTTAATTAAAATAGCACTAAATTTAATCTTTTACCCTACGAGTTTCATTAACAAAATCTATTTTTAGCATATGAAAAGAAATTTTTGTTGAATTTTTCCTCGTCAGCCTCTCTTAGACCATTTAAAAAATCTATAATCATTGCCAAGCATAATGTTAGCATAAAAGGTTGCCATATGCTTGTTATTCAATTACTAATATAAAAAAAAGTTTAGACATCACTGCATGAGTTATTACTGGAACTGTTATGTATTGATAAACATGGGGTGATGAAAGCAAAATATAATAAATAATGACTTGACAGGTCCGCGTCAAAGATATAAAATAAATGAATGTTTCGGTTTGAGATGTATGCCAAGCAGATACTCAGCTATGGAGCCAAATTATTAATCTCACAAATTTATGCTTACATGATTGTTTTTCCATAACGAGATATTTTATTTAGTGTCTAAGTGAAATTAAAAATCAGAATTTTTAAGTGAAAATCTTCACACGTTTTATTATGGTAGGAAGAATCAAATGCGCATGCGTAAGGCATAAAAAAAATGTGGCTTTGTGGTCCGGATTTTAGATCATTCCGGATAATAGATTTCCGGATTTCGGACTTTGTACTGTATATATATATATGTACACAATGTTATGCTCAAGCATTCATCTAAAACATACAGTGCAAAATTTAAAGCATTTAAATTTAAAAACAACAATAATTTCCTTCTTTTATGTAATTACAGAAGTACACAGAATGAGATATATGTTGTAGGTACAATGTTTTTAAATTACATACTGGCATAAATTTAAGATGGTCTCCCATGTATGGCAACCTTATATTTTTACCAAGTAGTTAAAAGAAGCATATACAAGTAAAACAACCTTACATATAAAGATCTAAGAGTTCAGTATTTTGAATGTGTTACAACAGAAATTTAATTACTTACAAGACAATAAAATAAAATTATCTTAATACCATCATTTTTTAAAAGTAAGTAAATGAGTTTCATTTAGCGTGTGGATAAAGTAATACATGATTAACAAGTTTACTATATTTTCCAAATGCTAGTCTGAGCATATGAGAAAAATCGTTTTCAAAACAATATTTTTATGAAAAAGTTACCATCTTTATACTCAGAACCATTTGTTAATCTGCCTTATTCAATTCACTTTATTTAATAAAATTACAGTCTTAAATACATATTAAACAGCTACCGCTATTACTGCAAGCTGATGTTCCTTGAAAGCATAATAAATAACCTCAAGCCATGAACAGACATTTTACAAAATAGGCTAACTTATTTTCAAGAAATGAGATTAAACTGATAATGCAGCAGCATCAATTCTTCCATCATCCAGAAAATCTAGTGGAGACACATTGCTGGAAGAGTAGCATTCAGAAAATACACATTCAACTTTTTCCCACTGCCTTTTATGCTTTTCAATTGTGTCCACTATATGAGACAATTGTGGAAAAAATCCCGAGAGAAGTCTGCAATACAGAGAAAATATTCAATGACTAAAGTATATTCACTGCAGTTATTGCCTCCTGAACTAGTAATAAAAGCAATGTGAAACTATAAATGTAGCATACCACACTTTAAGGATAAAACAATGAGAAATATCATTACTGAAAACTTTAAATTTAATGAAGAATAGCAATATTAATTTTTAACCCTGGTATCAATTATTTTTTAATTTAAGATTTTTTTCTTGCATAACAGTATACAAACTCACTTATAAATTAAACATTTCAGATTAAATTTTAAATTATGTGTAACTTTTTTCTTTTGAATTTGCAATAATTAAAAGCACACGTTAGTCATACATACCCATATACTGGTAAAACAATTTGTTCCAAAAAATTGATTTGCAATCGAGGTATGCGTGCTTTCTCTCTATCCATCATTTCACTTGGCATCACACCCATTGCTTTTTCTAAATCTCCTTGGGAAAAGAATTCCCTGTAGATAAGTTTCTGTACAGATTAAAAATGAAATTATCAACTGAAAGTTATTTAAAGAATGACTGTCAGATACTGCAGTATAATAACCTATTTCATAAATAAAAGTTACAACAACTGACAATATAAAAACCACAAACTACGTTTCAGGAGAATATAGAGATGATTATACTTTACCAAATATATTTTACATGAATAAGGCATTTGAATTAATACCTCAATGCATGTGAGAAATTTTACATTTCAATTTTATATGACTATGTAATTGACAATTTTACATGACAACAGAAGCATAGAGTACTTTAAAAACATCTGCATTACAAAAAAGGGCATAAATATTATATAATCAAATAAATAAAGTGTTCACAAGAATTTTTCTAGCATTGACTTTAAATTCAAGTTGCAATAACCATGCCTTTAAAGACCATAATTATATGATACTTAAATATAATAATAAATACCTTATGATACTTTATTTTATTTTTAAAATTTAGATTTTACTATAATCTGAACAAAATATAATAAATATTTTATGATAATTTAATATTTATTTTATTTTAAAAATTCACCAGATTTTACTATACTATGAACAGGCACCTAGAACTGCATTATATTTCAATCACTATTTCATCACTGAACAAAAATTGACTGCATGATGCATTACTTTGATAACTGAAGTATCAGTCCCTTGAAGTGTCAATACACCATGTTTGAGTATATTATTTATCACATGTAAAGCATGTAAAATTTCTCATATACACTGAGGTGTTAATCCAAATGGCTCATTGCTCACCTCTGTTTTATGATTTGGAATGACAAAGTTTCCAGAATCAAATAGCTAAAATAGGGCCAACAAAACAAAAGCAGTATATTATGCTATTTAGCTTTTTGCAGAAATAAACTGTATGCTGTTCCATGATATAAAATGGTACTTATCATGGATGTGCATTTCTTAATATTGGTTCACAGCAATCAGAAGATGTATAATTTTGTATGTATAATTTTAATACCTGTTTGTTGCAGAGTTAGATTTGATAGTTTCCATAATTTTTCACTACACAGCACAGCAACCGCTTCTATCTAATCAGAAATGGCTATTTTATTACAAATAGGGTTAACATTTATGGCCTGAAACTATTCATCTCAATTTAAAATGGGTAGATTCCTGCTTTGCTTTGAATTTGTTTATGTGAATGGCGTATAAAAAATGAAAACAAATATTTCTTTACATTATATCTAAATAGGGATCAGCATATTTTATCATGAACAAAACTGTATTTAATATTATGTAATTGTCCTTGACTAGCAACAATTTCAACAACAGCAATTAACTAATTTTATTAAATTATTTTTATTGATTAAATTTGAATAAATTATCAAATTTCAGCAAATAACAGTTGAAATTTTACACATTATACAAACAAATCTGTTTGCACTTCACAAATATATCACACAAACGCTAATCAATATTGATTAAGATCTGAAGCTTTCAGAGCAATCTGACATAAAAACAATGATCATATAAAGAGCTTATAAATTCTACAGGGATCCCATCTATCAATGAAAAAACAGCTCTAAGATCAATATATCAAATAAATGTATGAAGACATTATTCATATATATATATATATATATATATGAATTATTTTCATAATAATGGCTTGTATATAAATTCTTTCATAAAATCCATTTTAATGTATTCCATAGATGGTATATCATTTAAACTAAACCACAGTTTCTAGTTGATTGCATTTCATTACTGATTACATCTGAAGTGTCACAGCAGCATTTGGGAATGTAGAGAAAACATGAGACACTTTTCATGATTTGTGTAAGGACAATGATTTTTCCTGTCTTTCAGATAATATTAATCAAAGTATGTTGTAAATTATCACAGAAGTATGCTGTAAATTATCACTCTTAATTCTTATGCAAATAAATCTAACTACAAAAATGCATGAAAATCACTATAATTTTTTTCCAATATTGGAGCAAATTATTCTCAAACCTGTATGTACAGAAAGAAAATATAAATAATGATACAATTAGCAATACTGCTTTGTAAGAAAAACCACAATTGAGCAATTTATATTTTTTCCAAAATGAATGCATATAATATTTTTAGATCTCTAAATGCTAAAAAATAAACCTAGTCATGAGAAATATTTTCAATTTCATTGTATTTAATAAAAAATTTTAATGATCTCATATGAAGCACTTCTTCCTCAAAATATGCATATGATTTTAACCCCCAAATGAAGCAAGTAGGAAACTTTATCTCAAAATTTAAAATTATAAATCTGAATTGTTTCCATTTAAGTACATGTTCTAAGATGCTTTTTGGCATTTCACCTTATTCCAAACGAAGGATATCTAAAAAAAAAATAGGAATAATGATGTGGAAAAAAAAAAAAAAAAAAAAAAAAAGGGAAAAGAAAAAGAAAAAAAAAAAGAAAGAAACATGTCCCAAATATTAATGTAAAAGTTATTTTTTTTAACCAAATTAATTCTATTTTTGAACTCTTTAAATGTGTTTTTTCTCAAAACAATGCTTTTGCAGATTTGTGGTTTCGGCAGCAGATTTAAGATGAAGTTGACTCAAAATAAGTATGTTTTAGCATGTTGACTGCTGGCATGCATAAGAGAAAATTACATGAGAGGAACAAAGTAATTTTACTACTATAAAGTGTTCCAAAAGTATTAATATCGTACGCTTAGTGTGCGTGACAATTATAGCATTCCATGTTTCAATTGTAAACATGCAAAGGAAAAGTAAACATTATTTATCACATTATCACAAAATATGTAATTATTATTTTCAAAATAGGAATTTTTATTATTTGGTTCATGTAGTATATGCATGTGTGCATATGCTAGACGTTCCTGTATAGATTATCATCTTCATGCATAATTAGGATTTTGATCAGTACATTTAATTTGGATTTTGATCAGTGCACCTATATCATTTCTTTCAATACAAGTATATTTTTAATTCATGAGATAATTTTGAAAGAAAATCTGTAGGTTGTACAGGACACGATACGATATTTTATTATCAATTTTATTTACTTTTGAACAATACTTTGTGCTTTCTACTGCAGCACATAACTATATATTCTGAACACCATTTTGTAGGAAAACAAAATGAGAATTATTTTTAAATTTTAGAACTTTGTACATTTTTAAGAATATGATGGAAATACATTTATAATTTTATACATTTGTAATTTGGGACCAATTTGAGCAAAGTGATTTACAGGCTGAAGAAATTATATTACCATATAAAACTGCAGAAAAGGTGATCCACATGTGGTACCTGTGGCACAAACATGAGCTTTGCTGTGACCCACTGCAAGGATCACAAGGCCTCAAAACACATAGCAGTTAAAGTATTAAAAGACTTGCATGAATTAGAATACTAAAATAGTGATTTTATATGATATGTGTAATGATTAATTATATTTATTTACTTTAATATTTCACATTAAGTATTTGTTTTTAAAATTATTATATAATATTTTAATATATTTTTAATATTTTAGTATACCATTTTATCTTACTTTATCGTTTCTAAATTCTTAGATTTTTACAGAATTTCTTTCAAACATATGCACTGCTAATCACTTACTGCTATCTCTTTTGTATTTGTCCAGTCCTTGGTTTGATCTGATAAATCACACGAAGTAACTATAAGACACAAAAGGATTCTATGATGATCAGCATTGGAGCTGTCATATCCATCTAAAATTAAAAGACAAATATTTACAGTTCTTTAGAAAAAAAGAAAGAGAGTGAGAAAATTATCATTAGATGTAAAGAGAAAAAAGTAAATATTTGCAACATACCATTTAAAACCTGCTTAATGTCCTTCAATATCCTGAAGTGATGAGCTAGATCAGTTGCTAATATAATGTCCTTGATATAATCCAAGCAAGTTTTATATTCCTATGACCCCCCCAAAAAAGTGTGCTTTTAAAATAGTAAAATAACTAGTATTAAAAAACAATATTAAAATTATAACTGTGACAGTTATACTATATCAGAATTTGGTTTGAAAATAATTAAGTAATCTAAAATAGAACAAAAGAATAGTACTTGTTAAAAAAACCCTAAAATTTCAGGATCTCATTTCTTTCTTTCTTTTCTTTTTTTTGGGGGGGGGGTATAAAAAACTAAATGAGTTTTAAAACGTTTACATTTATAAAACACTATTTGGTAAAACAACTTATTAATGTATCATTTTTTTATTTTTATTCATTAAACAACAACAACAACAACAAAAAAAAAAATGTAAGGTTTGACACATTTATTAACTAGTTGTATTATTTTTTATTTACTTTCAATGGTTACCCCTTCCAGGATGCAAATTTAGACAGTGTATTCAAGCACTCAGCTTTTAACTTCAAGAAAGAACTTTTGGCAGTTATTCACTGACCCTCTTGATATAGTTTCCCCTTCCCCCCAGCTTCCCTTTAAGCTTTGTTATCCATAACTGCTCATAAAGTTGAAGACCTGTGTCAAAGCTTGTAAACATGCTTTACCTTGCAAGTTAATATTTCAATTTTATTTTAACCATGTATTTTGTTTTCCTGCATCTTCTGTTCTAAACAGGTTGTGTAACAGCCTCATGATCCAATGAAAAAGTTTATTTTAAACCTTCTTCTGAGTTGGAGTTATTTTATTTAAAAGGTAAGTCATCAAGTCAACTACTAAACCTATAAAGATACTCAGGCAACAGTTAAAATAAGGCTTATCCATACAAACAATGTACATTTCACATTTTGTTATTTATAATGCGCTTTAATTTATGAAACTAAACTGATCAATGGCAGCACAATTTATTCTCATTCAACCCCTGAAATTCCAGCACAGAACATTCATAAAAGTTAAGAAATATTTTCTACAGAAATTTCTCAGTAAGATTTTTACATTGATATAGTTAAGCATGCTGTATGAGTTCTTCAAACTCTAGTGTTTGGTATTTATGTGTGCTGACAATATCCATGACTCCAATATTCATGACTTGTACACTAACGAAGTCTCCTCTTTTTAAAACTAATTATACTTTTCATTTTACTTTCAGAGGGTTGAATTTGGTTTGTTATATTTGATCATAGCAATTTACACAAGGGCTATCTGCCTAAAGGAAGGGATACCTTTGTGGAAAACTTTCTGATACCTTTGTGGAGAACTTTCTAAGGGAAACCGGCTCATGAACACATTAATATGGCAAAAATCACAAAAATGCTCATACAGACAGCCCATTTGCCAGGATTTGAACCCCAGACTGAGCTACCAGTATTCAGTGACTTTACCACTCAGCCAATGGTGTGTTTCTTCTTTTAGAGGAAAAAATCAATCTTAAACAAGGGCTCCCAACAGAGCCAGTACTGACTCCTGAGGGGGGGAGTCGATGAAATTTTAAAAGCTGTCAATGATGATCAAGAGGACAATAGTTGAACATGCATGGTCAAGAAGCTATGAATAAAGTTATATCATGTTTTGAAAGGAAGAAATCATAAAATAAATATAAAGAAAAATGCACAAAAGAAAACCTATTTAAACATCAACATGCAACATTGAAATATATAGGTTTTTTTTTTTTTTTTTTTTTTTTTTTTTTTGTTGTTTCTGTTTTTTTTTCCACAAAGAGGCCAATACAAAAAGTAAAATGCATGAACACAAGAAAACACTACCAAAAGTATAAAAATAATGCAAAAATTCGTCAGAAATTACCTTGTTATAACACATGAAAACACAACCAAAAATATCAAAATAATGAAAAAAATTCCTCAGAAGCTACCTTGTTATTTACAAATTACTAGCAAAAATTTGCAGGAAGACTTCAATGTTTGCTTTCAAGACATTAAAGATTTTAATGTACCAGCAGGCTCATAGAATCACAGAACTAGTATATTTAATTTTGATATTATGATGCAAGAAGAACTGATTGCATTGAAGGAGGATATTCAAGCAAAAGTCTTATACAAAACACAAGTAAAAGTCTTATACAAATGTATGTTATGTTTGGGGATTTAAAAGTCATCCAAGAGAAATATCCCAAAATAAAGGTTTTTACTGAACAACATTACTGACACTTCCCTCTTCTCATCTAGTAGAGGCAGGCTTTATTCAGTAACTTACTGAAAACAAGAAACATGTTTAATATTTTAACAAGGTAATTTCAGAATTAAGCTAAGCAATTTTATGACAAATATTTTGTTTAATTCATCAATAAACCACCAAGCACAGCCATCCCATTAATTAAAATCAATCTGGGGTTTTGTTTCTGAAAATATCTTCATACTTGTAAAATTAAAAATAATAAAACATAAATCGAATAAACACTTTTTTTAAAAGCTTTTCTCACGATCTCAGTCTAACTGTTATCATTAACTTATTTATCTTTATTATACGCACACACACATACACATACAAAAAAAAAAAAAAAAAAAAAGATACACATTTATTTATCTAAATTGCTTTAAACTAAAAAAAAGTGAATGATAATTTTTGACACACTGCCATTTACCTTTTCAGATAGGTTTTCAAATATATTGCATCCTTCAGTATGCAGGATTGCCATTGTTTGAGCAAAATGATGTCTCTATGGTAAAGGAAGTATGAATAAATATCTATAATCTATTTTAGAATGAATTATAAGGCATCAAAATAACATTAACAAGAAAATATACCTTAAATATGACAAAACATAGAACTTTAAATGAGTTAAAAAATAAAGAGTAATGACTTAGAAAACTCATTACTCAGGTGCTGTGGTTACAAACCTTGGAATATACCAGACTGGAATCACATGATATTCATCAATAAGCCCAATTTTCCTTTGCTTAGATGGCCACACAATTAGAAGGCCTGTTAATGTTGCTTTATATTATATATCCATATATCACATAAAGCAGCACATGCACATCACATCTGGCATAATCATTCCATAATCACTGCCCATGAGTTTCATAATCATTGCTAGTCATTGCTTACCAACACTCTGCAACACTTTAATGGCATGATATTATATTAACATCTCCAACATCATGACCAACAGTTTTCTGAACTGTTGATTGTGTCAGCCATGGTACACCTTTCAGCAAGATAATGGCCATCTGTACATGGCAGAGATCTCATGGAATTAACTGCATCTTTGCCTTGCCAAAGCTTTGACACTTTTCTTGGTCAACATATGATCGATGTAAAGTAAAGAGCCAGTTACAGCTATTTCACAACGTTGAACTTGCTAAACATTTGTAACAGAATGGCTAACAACAAAATCTTTAGCACAGTACTTAATATTTGCATGAGTCCATGCCAGACTGCTGCTAGGAGCAATATATCATATTTAGATCTAAATTTCAATAAATGGATTGCATGATTCCTTCATCTTTTAAAATACTTGCTCATATGATATTTCCACCTTAAAATAATTATCATAAAAGGATCATTATGAAATTAAAGATAACTTCTAATACAATGATACAGCAAGTCAATAACCAGTCACTTGTGAACCAGTTAGTATACAGTATTGCACATATATGACAGTATACCTGTTAGTTTCATTACAATTTAGAACATTTAAAAATATTAGCATAAAGGATAGACTTCTTTTTTTCTGCCAGTTTTATTTTAAATAGGCTAAAATAAACTAATTACAGAAAGGAAAAATTCCAATACTTTCAAAATAAAAAAAAAAAAATAAATAAAAAAATGTAACTGCAATTAAATTAAACTTTTGTTTCACAGACATATTGCTTATTCCTGAAGCTTTATGATATTCAGTTAGCATTAAGTTTTACATCTTATTAAGTTCCATTACTATTAGATAAAACTGATGGACTTTTTATTTTCAAATATAATCTTCATTTAAATAGTAGTATGTAATCTCCTAGTAGTATGTTACAAAACTGTGTGAATTAAGATTTCATGATATCCATGAAAATTTTGCCATGGTCTGGTTTAGTCAATATGGCAAACAACACTTGGGATATCTTCCTAAGTGAAGGGAAATGCTTTTATGGAGAATAACCATGGAGAATAATCTAAGGGAAACTGATTTGTTTACATGTTACAGATGGGGTAAAACATGAAAAAGCCCATGCAGACAGCCCATTTGCCTGAAATCGAAGATTACCAGAACTACCAGCATTTAGTATTTTCACTGTTCGGCTGATGGTAGGCTTTCCCACTAGCCATAACAAACAAAATATTCAAACAATATTATTTCCACTAAACTTTGAATTAAAGAAATGAAATAAACAATGGGACATATACCTAAAAAAAATTTTAAATACAATTAACTTATCATTACGAATTTATCAAAATGAATAACATACATATTTAAATTGAAATATTTAAAAAGAAATATTAATAAAAACAGAATTAGATTTTTATCAGTTCACTTAGAACAGTAAACTAAGATGGATTATTTTTTAATCAATTGTCTAACAATCATCATCACACTTGAAAATCATTCACAACATTCACTTACCTCTAAAACAGATCCTTCAGAGCTATATAAAGCAGCAAGCACAGATTTCTGTAAAAATAAAAGGAAATTTACATACATACTGCAAACACAAGTATGTTAAATTTTTCTTTTGAAGAAATTTAGAAACTTACTGATGTCACTTGGAAAGAACTAGTAGTTCCCCTATGATCTAAGTCATGACAAAGGCAAGCAACAAAAAGAGACAGACCTTCTAGAAAACTTTAAAAACTATGTGTTACATTAAATGATAAAACAGTTTTTAAAAGTAAAACATTATATTATTTGGACTTGAATTCAAGTTTTTACTGTGAGATATTAAACATTTAAGTTTAACGAAATATCAAAATAGAACTAGCATAGAAAAAAGCAACCACTTTGCAGTAAAATATATGCATGTCTCTTTTGTTTCCATGCATAAATTAAAAATTGATATATAACATCTTGAAGTTAAAAAAAAAATAGCATATAATAATTTAAAACCATCAATTCATGTTGAAACCATGTAATTTTGAAAAAAATATTAATTATGCTCAGATTTTTCTTAGGAGATACTGACAGCAATTATTCGCATATAGCAAAATATGCTGGAAAAATAACATCTTCAGAAAAGTATACAATTATTAAAAATAAGTTAAAAAAAATATACAAAATTTTTTTAATTACATTTTTAAAAATTAAATATTTATTTTAAAATATGATTTTTTAATAGAAATTATTTAAATATATATAAATATATGCACACACACAAAATGATACATAATTTGAATACTTTACAAGCATCAAATGATACTTCTGGTGAGTTCAATAAAATTATTTCATAAATTCCAGTAAAATATAAAATAATTAAAAAAAAAATAACCATTACAGGCAAAATTACAATTTTTACGTAATTATCTCCTAAGCATTTAAGTATAAAATAATTTTATCTTCAAGTAATCTCATCGGTGAAAAATTAAAACAGAAGACAAATAAAAATCCTAAATTTACCTCAGCTGATTTCCCATTAACTTTAAATTTTTCAGTAGTAAATACGAAAAATGCGCAACAGAAAATCCATGTTTCCAGTTATGATAAGGAGGATCACGATAACCCTGTTCAACTGTCACAATAAACCTATACAAGCATTAAAAAAAGGGTCAAAATTAGTTTGAAGCAAAATGCACATTTTGTAAAGCATTATGCAAAATTATTTCATTACATCACTTTTATTCAGAAATATTTGCACACAGAATTTTAAAACATACAGAACAGGCAAAAAATAAGTTACATACTAATGGTAGAATTATATTCCATAAGTATGGAATTTGAAAATAATTAAAATATAGAATATGACAGAAATTACAAACATTAAATTTAATGCAACATTTTACGCATATTTTAATTTAATAAAAAATTCTACTAAAAAATTACTAGCAAACTAATTACACAAAATTAATAATAATAATTCCATTCTATTAAAAGCTGTTTATTTAGCAAATATCCTTATGCTTTTACTATAAGGATACAAAAGGTGAAAATACTATGATAATATTGAAGATGAATAATCATCATTTCCAAAAAGTTATCTTTTAAATATATACAGACAAAACATAGTTAAATACTATTTTAATTCATACAAATAAAAAAAATCTGACGTATACACCACATGACTTCCCTGTACGGAATATTAAATACGCATTTTCTTGAATTTCATTTAATTGGATGAATTAAATTAACTACTTCGCCGAAGCGCATTATAAACCACAATGAATAATGGCATTAAAATTCACTTTGTTTACCATAGCACACTCTGGCACTAGGTTCACTTAACAGTATTATATTTCGTTCATATTATAACTAGAATGCACAAAATTATATCATTTAAAGAATAGAATTATTACTGTCGTTGCCACAGGTTCTATTCAAAATACTATAATAATCTAGAATGATGTATAAAAAAATTAATAAGCAAATAAAAAAAAAAAAAAAAAAGTTTTTTCAAAAGTTTTTCACTTGAGTATTCTATTCTCACTTGTGCGAGAATGGCAAAAATACAAAAATACATAAAAACTCAAAATATCTATATTAAAAAATTACGAAGTAAAATCTAAACACTTATTTCCTCGAAAAAATTCCAGAAAAAAATTAAGCATGATTTAATGGCATAATAAATGAAGACGTTATCTTTGTTGTTGGGAAGCTAAGTTTCTCTAGATTGCAACAAATTCCTATCCTGCTGTTTCAAATGTAAACAAACAATGGCCACCATCAAAAGAAGTATTAGGCTTAGCACACTTAAACAACTTTAAAATTGTGATAATTCTAAAAATATTTGCATATAGAGATTTACTAAAAAGGCATAAAAATAGTTAACCGGGAAGCAACAACAAATTCAAACATTTGAAAGCAAAAAATTACAATTTATACAAAAGATAAGAGTAAAGAAACTGAGATCACTGAGCCGGATAACAGAGTGGATATTTATATAAATATATTATATCGTTTGGTGCGGCCGACCAAACCAAAATGTTCTCTTGTTATAGCAGTCCTATATACAAAATTTCAACGTTCTGAGGCTACTCACTTTTGAGTTATGCGAGATACGTATGTGCACGTACGTACCTCGTTGCGTGACCATAGACCCCCAAAAAAATTATCTTCAGAGTTCATTTTTAAAGCAGTTGTTATATTTTTTGAAGGAAAATAGAGTATTTTATTCTGTCCTTATGTACAGATATCATGCAAAAACATGCAAACGTTTAAATTCAATTCGATTGCAGTCAAAATTGATATTTGTTCTTTGAATATGCTGCCTGAAACTTTTCACGATTACAATATTTCCTTTTTACTTCATACAAGGAAATAAAAATGAATAACTGAAATCTTATCACTTAATCTTTTTAAAGAAATCATTCAGTTAAATAGTACCAAATTGATAAATTGCATAATATTTTAAATAAAACATATATTATAATGAGACTGTAATAAAATATTACATATTCAAATAAAACTTCATATACTTAAGCAAACAGAACAAGAAAAATGCCACATTAACATAATTTTGCATCAAATCCAGAAAAATCATTAATATTTTAATTTAACAAAGCTTCAGCCTTTACAAGAAATTATTTTCAATCCTTTAAGAACTTGATATAAAATACATGACTTCCATTACCAGATTACTTTAATGTGAAACTTAAGGGCTACAATAAGATTTACTAAATGGTGTTTAAATTATTTTGAATTTATTAAACTGAAGCCCTTGAAAATTTGTATATGTCTCTCCAGAGTCGTTCCTATTGGTTGCCTGTGTACTTTCCTAGGATTGCCACCCCCAAGTTAATGCTCAATCATTAATGAAATTTTTATTTCATACTCACTAAGTACTTACATATGACAAATTGCATAAAAAATGCTTACATATGACACATACTTACAATGAATTTAATGAATTTAAAATATTTAGTTGTGGTATCGTAAGAGCGCAGTCACCCCTGATTTTCGCCGCTTGCATAACTTTTACATGCTGCACCTCTGCTAAAAATGGCCCTGTGTCTTTCATAGTATAAAGAAGAGAGAAAAAAAGAATGAAAAAATGCAGCTATTTACTGAGGACCACTTTGTATTTTATTTGAAAAAGAATCCAGCTATAACTGTTAAACTATTTGCAGCAAAATCATTCAGGCAACTACTCTCCAAAATGCTGCAAATAATCCCAAAATATTAAAAATAAGACATCAAAATGTTGAAAATATTTGGCTGTGTGTGTATACATATATGGTCATATAGCATGGTCATTAGGTTCCTACAAATACCATGTTATTCATAATTAATGCTATACAAACCAAAGAAGTAAATATATATACAATTCGAAAGTTATATATATATATATGAAATATTGAATGAACTAAAATTCATTGAAATCGAAAACAATATATACACACAAATACACAAAAGTAATATATATATATCTTGTTGGTGAAAGTCCTTACTCAGCCTTTATTTTTGCAACCGTTAGTCATAGATATAATACCTTGCACACAAAAAATAGGGGGGAGAGTTCTATATCTCCCATTTTACTGGACCAATTGTCAAAACTTGCGTTTCCCATGTCTCGAAAGCGCTACTTAGGATATATATTA